ATGTTTATTTTCTAAAAAAAGTTGAATCTAAGTATGCAGTTGTTGGCTGTAAATAGTTTTTCTTTTCTTTTATGTAAATTTGTATTTGTGCTAAGAATTGGATTTTTCACGGAAGTTTTTCTGCATGTCTCTTATTTTCATACGTAAACATGCACACACACGCGCACATAAATATGAACACATGGATATGCTTTTAATTAAAATTGATGAAAATAGGGAAATTTTCAAATTTGGCTATTATCTTCCAGTGTTCCTTTATAATAAACTTTTTTTTATTCATTAGCATGAAAAGCACGTAAATTTTTTTAAGTGTAGACAAAATAGTGTCAAAGATAAACACTTCGAGTATAAAGTTGGGTGTGATGATATGGATGATAAAAAATATGCCGATGTTATTGAGTTCTCTTTACATTGAGGGATTTGTAATAGAGTTTATAAAAATCCATGTTTATCAGGTAGACAGTCATTTTATCTGAATGAAGGTGTAAACTAATTAAATAATTGATCATTATCAAAATGGGGATTTGTGGAGATTGTAATAAATTTAATAGTTGAACAAAATAGTTGAATTAAAGCTAGATCACCATCGAAAACCTGGTAGCACTGGACGACCATTTCGTCGTAGTATGGGACTCCTCATCAGTGCACATCCACGATCCCGCACCAAAGGGACTCGAACCCAGGACCTTCGACTTTGCTCGTGAACACTTGACCTCTAGATCACTGAGCTGGAATCCAACGGTGATAATGTCTAATTTCAACCAATCGAAAATGCTGCACAACCGCCCATTATTGTCTTCAGTGAGTAACTACCTGTTTGGTAAATATATAAGTCTATCATAAAGTAGAAAAGATTGCTTCATAAAGTGATTCGAGACTTCAAATATCAAATGGGGTTGCGTAATAACCAGGGGTTTAGAGAGGAATAGAAGGATGAAAATAATTTACGAGTCGAAACTATAATAGTTGTCCGCTTGACAGATATGAACAAAATGGTCATAACAGTAACTGAATAATAATCACGAAAAATTGTCAAAAGTATAATAATCACTGATTCATGTTTAAAATTACAAAATAATAATAAAAGTAAAAGCTTTCACCGAGTTGGTGGACACGTAGGAACACCTAGGGAAGTTGGAAAACCCTCATTCAAAACCACTGGTACACGTGGGCTCTAAAATCCTGAAAGAATAAATGGCGTATGAACCAATTATTGGTCAGCTGCTACCATGGGACTGCATCTCCTAACGTTGCTCCACTGCCTTGTAGATCAAACCTTTAAGTCGAATCTTGGGGTGTGGCCCCCTAAGAAAACCACTCGCTACGGTTCGAGCACCCGGGTAGTATCACAACCTGCACACAAATCAAGGGACTTGTGTGGCACATATGCGTTCGGTGCCTCTTTGTACCAATATTTATGCGCTTAAATAAATAAATAAATTTACTGATTTACATTTGTTGCCTTATCTAGTTAGAGCATATACATATAAACACTGATATGTCACCTTAACTTGAACATTTTGATATATTCTATGAGGTAATATTGATCAAGTCTAATCAATATAGCATAAAATAAGATAAATAATATCATTAGCTATTGGATTTCGGAATCAAATTCCTGAGCAAATGATTATTTCAATCACCCTGGCCATTTCAATATTAAATTGGTATGTATTGACATCTGAAATCAATTTTTTTTAGCTATATTTATCTTTTAAATAATACATATAGTCACACTCATTTTATTTATCTTTACTCATATTGCATTTATTTATATTTTGTTATTTTAGCAAGGTATTATTACAACTGTTTTATTCAATCACCCACTGAAACATACAATACGTCAAACAAACAAACATATCACAACTACATATGTACATATCAATATTATTTCAAGAAAATTCTAATCAAGATTTCCATTGTACCTGATTTTAAACCAGTCAACTACTTTGATATCAAGCTGAGTAGTACAAATAGTGTAAACTAATAAACGTGACTCATTTCTCTTTAATCTTTTATTTTATAATAGAAAATTTTTCACTTTTACACTTGATTAACAAAGAATTCAAAGAGACTTATCATCATTATTATGAATAATGATAACTTTTTTTTTAATTTATAAGTAAATAACCTAGTTGAATTCCAATTTCCCACTTATAATTTTGATCTATCTTATCATTTCAAAGTAATGTATGCAAATCATATTATTTTGTTCATTGTAATTTGTATTAATGAATTTACCATTTGTTTGTTCGTGATCATAAAATTTTGTAAAACTTGTCTGTGTCATTGGTATTCAATCAACAGACATGTTGATAAATAAAAATTTACAAAAAAAAACACAACTACGTGATGTGCGAAAAAACAAACAAACAAACAAACAAACAGAAAGTTACTGTATTTCTTTTCATGCCTGTATGTTTATTTGATGTATCAGTTCTGCTTTCTTTGCATGTCTATAGTTATAAAGGTGAAATTTTGTAATTTTGATTATTATTAGAAGGGGTTTTGTGGAGATTTTAGTAATTTCAATAGTTGAAATCATGATTCAATTGAAGCTAGACCACCATGAAAATCCTGGAAACAGTGGACGGACGTTTTGTCGTAGTATGTGTCTCCTCAGCAGTGCGCATCCACGACCCCACCCCCCGCGAAGATGGTGTACGGTGGCGCAATTTCGTGGATTAGTTGAAGTTAGACAATAACATCACTGGAAGCCGGCTTAGTGGTCTAATGGTTAAGTGCTCGCGCGTGAGACTGATAGGTCCTGGGTTCGAATATCGCTGGGGTATCGCGGATGCGCATTGCAGAGGAATCCCATACTAAGACGAAACGGCCGTCCAGTGCCTCCAGGTTTTCCATGGTGGTATAGCTTCAATTGACTCATGATTTCAACCATTGAAATTTCGATTATTGTTAAATATGAATGTTTGATGTTGTTTGTTTATTAGGGCAGTAATGAAAAGATATCTCAACTAAACTTGCTTAATATATAAGGTATCATGGTTTGTTTGTGTAAGAGTTCTTTTCAAATAGAATTAAATTGTAAATGTGTACATAAACATACATATAGCAAATATCGATAATGGTGGAGAAGATTTGTAGCTCAGGTGGATGATTTTGATGGAATCTCTTTTCTCTGAACTTGAATACTGCACGCAGAATTGTGGCGGAGGAGGAGTCTTATGCTAGGGACTACACGGCTGTTCAACGATTATAGTTTTAATTGAATATATAGCTTTGGAGACATATATGTTGAGCGATTCTTTCAAATATATATCACACTTGCGTTGGTACACTCAACGAATATAACCAAAGTTAAACTTTCATGTAACACATTATTGACACTATTAATAAAGATGTTCTTTATAAATGATTTACTACAGATACCCGTTGTATAGCCCACTTACACTCATTTTATTTATTTATTAACAAAACAATCATATCTATGGTTTTCACGAAGATCTTGTGAGTTTTGTTCCACTCTGAAGATTTTTCTAATTACAAGAATTTATATATTGATATGATATAAATATAAAAAGCAGTTTCATTCTAAAATTATCAAATTTCTTTGGCGACTACAGTTTGTTCTTTTTTTAATTACAGTATGTCGCCACAGTCTAAAGCACGAAATGATCTTAGCTAGGACATCATTGAAAACCTGGAGGCATTGGACAGCCGTTTCCTCCTAGTGTGGGAATTCTTATAAGTGCTCATTCACGACCTCACCACAGGGAATCGGACCTAGTACCTTCAGTCTCGCACGCGAATCCGTAACATCTCGAACAATGAGCTAGCACCATAAGGTGTTAGAGTTTAACCTAAATTAATTCACGACATTGTGCAACCCTTATCCATTGGGTGAGATGGGTAACTGTCTCACACCCGACATGGACTGAACTCCACTGGTCATAGTTTCTTAATAGAACCCCTGATGCTACATCTTGAGGCTAGTCACTAGTGAATATATGGTTATTGTTAGTAAAAGGGATTTGTGGAGATCGTAATATTTTCGCAGTTGAAATCACGAATTGATCTTTTTTAAGCCACAATTGGAAACGTGGAAGTAATTGAAGGCTATGTCGCCCTAGTATGTGACTCCTATATTAGATGGATATCGTATTAGGAAAGCAATTATGTATCTGATTTTTACTCAGGCTATCATAATTTTTTTCGATGCAACTGAAAGCTTAAGTAAACTATTTCTTCTTAGAATAGTCATACCCAAATTACGGCCTATAGTCATAGTTGTCACTCTTGAACACAATAGATAGCTAACTGTTAATGTTCTGGACAACAAACATTTTGCTTTCAGTTATTAAGTGTGTAGTAAAAAGGAATGCAATAAAAATTTAATTAGTTTAGTAATATAACCACAAAATCTATTCAGAATATATTTGTTACCATTCAGAGGTTAGTTGATTTCTAGGTAATGCATCTTTCTACTGTAGTGTGATTCAAAATTTGTTTAACCGTATTGTTTCGAAAAAAACGTTTCGTTTAAATTAAAATACAGCTTGTCTTGTTATTAGCCCATCAATTTTTAAAGATCATTATCCAAACACAATTTATCATTATTAAAACATATTATTTTATCTAAACTACAATTACTACTCTAAGTAATTAATTGAAATCATGAACCGATTGATGTTAGATCACCATTGAGAACCTGGAAGCACTGGATGGCCGTTTCATCCTATTGTGGGACTTCTCAGCAATGCGCATTCACGATCGAACTCAGTAATTTCAATTTAAACTGTTAAAATCAGGTCAAGTGATGCATTGTTAACTTTTAAAGCAATAAATTCTTTAATGAAGAGATCTAGAAAATTCTTCGAAAAAAGCCTTGAAGTTTTGCCAGAAACACGTTTCTGACTAAATGATTACCTATACTGCTACTATGTTTAGTAGCACTCCAGAATTTTCTAGAAACCCAAAGCTATCTAAACCACTACATAAACGAACCTTGAAGTAAAGCGTTTTTTTTTTATATTTTTCACCTTTTCTCTCATGTTCAAGTCGTTGTGTAGATTTAGCTTGGGGATTAATAGATTAACTAAGGAATCGAATCTAACGTTCAATCGGAAGACTTATGAGTTTTACGATTTTGAAAAGTCATAAAAATCTAAGTTTTTTTTTTCATATCAAGTTAGTTATTTTAATATGTCCACAAGATAAATAGACTAGATTAGCAAAATTGATGATAAACATTTTACTAAAATAATAATTCAAAAACTCTTATGTAATACATTAATAAACTTCACTTTTATTTTACATCGTTTCATTAATTACGTAATGATTCTAGTCAATGTAGAAGAAGAAGATGAGGAAAAGAACAAAAAATACTTTTAAAACCTATAAAAATGAAATTTCCTAACAGCATAATAAACTCTATGAAGATATAATTACTTAATATCGATCATTTCCTACATTGTAATTCATTAGAACATCCAAAATCCAAAAAAAAAACAAAACAAAAAAGGAACTGAGAAAAAGAAAAAGAAATAAGAAGTATATGAACAATCAATGATTGATAAGTTCTAAATTGATTAGTTTATTTTGAATTGTTTTTGTTTTTTTTTTAAAAGAAAGGAAATTCAAATTTTGTACAAAAAATGGACCAGGATGTCTCAAAAGGAAGCAATGAAACTTTTTCGAAACAATAACATTAAGTTTAGATTACTTGATAGTTTTGATCTTGGAAAGAACAGGATCACAATTAGATTGAAACATACATTATAAATCTTAAATCATTTTTACATTGTATCATTGAATCAACAACCTGTGTTATTAGTAGGTTTTAATGATTGTTTACAATATTGAACATATTAAATGAAAACAAATTGAATTCATAAGTTATTATTTTGTTTACTTCTTCTCTAACGGTATATTACAAGATTTGGTGTTGTAAATGAATAAAAGATTTAAATGAGTATTTGATTCTGTATTGATTATATTCAATTAACGTGTTCTCAGTGGTTTTTTTCGTCAGAAAATTTAACTCTTTTATTAATAGTTATTAATCACATTTGAATGATCATTTATGTTCTTTGGTATCACTAAGGGATGTTTCTTTATTATTCTTCTGTGAATTAATTAAAGTGTTTTCATTATTGGATGAATTTTATTATTTAATGAAAAATAATGAATATTGATTGTTTTGTCCATTTTTAGATATCTGTAAGGTAGTAACAAGAAATGAAGGCTAAATAATTTAAATATTATTTACGAATAAGATAGTGATTGAAGGTAGTCAACAAGGATTCCTGGATCTAAGTTTTGTGCTTAGGCCCTATCTCAACATATTGCACACAATGTATAGTTACCTAGACTGGTGGCAACATTGAAACTTGGTCGTTATGATTCGACCTGCACTAAGCAGGACCTGACATACATGACATTGATCACCAACCAGTAATCAAATAATTGTAAATATTATTTACAAAATTAAGAAAACCAAAATTTTCACATTATACACAAAATTGTGTCTGTTTTTGATTATAACTTCACAAAATAAACAAATACATGTTGATAATTTAGAATGTTTGAAACATAGAGTTGTTAGGATAAATCTAATGTAAAGTAATAAATGAACATTAATAACCAGACTCAAATTTGATTACTTTCTTCCGGTTGATATTCATCTATAATGAAGATTACATAACTTTTACAAGTTTGTATTTTTCCTGTTTTAGAACTCATTTGTTCCATGTCATGTAGACTATACTTCATGATAATAATGAACAAAGTATGAGTTTTACAAACGTAACTCAAATTCAAAGGTGATAATGTCACGGGGTCAATCAAATTGCATTGACAAGAACTTATCCTGCAGCTAAATTGATTGTCTTGTCCAAAACAACATGTTCTTTGACACAATCAAAGGTCGACAGGTATCCCTTTAATGTTACCACTAATTGTGTATACAAATTTACATGTATCTGCCAAAGCAGAAAGAAGAGGCTACGTCCGATTCAAAGAACATATTCCGAAGACTTTAAAATCAAACGGACTAAAAGCATATCTCCTTGACACAGGACACGAAGTCGATACACTAAAATCCTTCGAGTTGATTAACAAACAATCAAACTCAAACCTTTTGAAATTTGCCGAAGCGATAGCAATCAAACGTTTAAAACCAGATCTTTGTATACAAAAAGAAACAGTAATAAATCTTTCTTTGCCCTGGAAATATTAATCCTCCAACTCTTTCTGAATTTTATAATTACATCATTCATAACTGACCAATTTCAATTCGTATCTCTCTTCACTACTATTTATCTATTTTCAGTTACTTCATTACATAATTATGTAATGTGTTTGAATTCCATGAGTTCTAATCACTATTTCAATGTTCTGGAACCTTCCCTCCCAAACATTTTTTATCCGAAACAAAATTCTTATGACTTTATTAACTGTATTGAAATCTTCGCTACATTGTGATACGTATATTCATCCTTCATCACCCTCTTATGTACAAGTATGTTAATATTTGTAATAACGTTGATTCTAAAATATTTTAGGTTGTAAGCAGCTGATAAGAACCTAACGAAATAAAATGAATTGATATTATTCTGCACCAATCTTTGTTCTTACTCTCTTTAAAATCGTTGCAAATATTACATCATAGGTACTTGATAATTCATTTGTTATAAAAATGTCAACTAACAAAATATGAACTTCAATTCGATTGTTTAATAGTCTATAAAGTTGTATTATTCATAAAGCATTTGAAAATCATTTTGTAATAAAGGTAAACAATGACTTACTATCTTTTAATTATCAGCCAAGATTCATTATTCATAAAAATACTTTAGAACTGAATATTTTGAGGAAATTGCTTTATCAATGTACATACAATAAAGACTTATTGAATTTCTGCATCTTCAATTAATTTCAATAATACAATAATGACAAATATATTGAGTAGTATTTATTATCTTATATGAAATTGATTTATTCCATTTCTAATCATATAGTTACTAAGTTCAAGGATAAATGATATTCTGATCTTAATTCTTAAAATGATCCATAGGATTACAATCATTTATATCATTAATATAACTTAATTATTTTCTTTTGAATGTATCAATCTATTTTGAAAAGATTACTGGTTACCAAGACATTTTTGTACATATATATATATATAACCCGATAGATTAGATTGAATAATAACAACAACAAAAACATGTCATGAAAGACATTGAGAATTAGATATAAATTTTGTAGTTTCTTGTTTATGATTACATATTTGAAATGAATCAATATAATGATCATTTTCTATATTTTCTAATTCAATTTTTTTCTTATCGATTATTTCTGTATTTAATAAAGATGAAATAGTAAATTTATTTAAATTTGAATTAGATTTTTTATTTAATTTAAAATTTGTTGAAGAAATAGTTTGTTGATTCATTTCTTGATGATCATTTTGAAATGAATCTATTGAACATTTTGAAAAAGTGAATTTTTCTGTTGGTTTAATTATAATTAATTGATTTGAATTACTAGTTGATTGAATATTCCAATTAGATTCAGGTAAATTTGAATAATTTTCATTAACTAATTTGGAATTTAAAGTTTTGGATGAATTTTCAATAGATGCAATCCAAGAAGCCATCATGAATGAAGATAGTTCAGCGATATTTGAATTCTATTAATAAAATATATTAATGAAATGATCACAGTTAGTTAATAGTTCCATATACTGATGAATAGAATGTTTGCTTAAATTCGTTTAAAATAACGGTCAATAAAATACAAATAATTGAGAAGTCGTCAACAGTTCCCCCCACCCCCAGAAAAACGGTAGACATATAATAAAAACTAGTTCTATAATTTCCACTTGTAAATATAGTATTATTTTCGTTTAAAAATTATCTTTGATAGCCTAATACACGGTTTCTAATTAATACAGTACTGTTCGGTGTTTGGTTAGTACCGAACACAATTACAAATAATAGACCTATTTTCCTACTAGTAACATTATGTTTGACATTGAGTCTCTAAACTAACTTTCTGGTTATGTCAAACAATTTAACTTAGTATATCCATTAAAAAGTTTAAAAATAAGTAACTAATGAATCTTATAAGAAAAACAAGATGCTTAGGGTTATAGAATTATAAATAGTTTATATAAATGAATGAATGGTGTCATTTTTTGAATAATATCTCTTTATTACCAATCCTAAGGTATAATTCATTATTATTCATGTCTATTATTTACACATATTTACTTATAGTCACTACTTTGTATACTGATTGCAGCTTTTCTCGAAAACTATCCTTGAAACCTGGTAACTGACATTAATCCATGTTAAAGAAATTCTTATATGACATATTGTTCAAGTCATTGCAAAATCCACCTAATTATATTACAAAAAAAAACAAACAACATAGCTTACCATTTGGATAATTCACAAAAACAGCTCTGAAGAATCTATCCGAAGGTGGATTAATTTCTATTTAACAACTCTGTACGACAGCGAAGTGTTGTATTCATAAGCTACTTTTTTTTAAATTCCATTATACCATGTCAGACTTTTACAATAACTTCTTATTGTTTGTTTTACTTTAACTCTCAGAGATAGCACTTTTTGATCACTAACAAATGATAATATACCTAATATTAGTTTACCAATGTGGATATAAATTTTAAAAAATATATAGTATCCTATAAATAAACTTACTGAATCATTTGACGAATGTGATGATGATGATCTTAAGCATTTTAAACGTTCATTAACATCTAATAGATTAGACTGGTTTACTGGAGATATTTCCTCATTCGTATTACTATTATTATTGTTTGATGGATAATTCTTACCATTTAATTTTTCCTCGACTATTATTTCTGAAGATTCATCTGATATTATCTTATTATATTCATTCATTACAGTATGTTCTCCAATATTCAATGGAATATTTTGATTTCTTTTATTTATTGAATTTATGAAATTAGTATTAAATATGTTATCATTTATAGTAGTACTATTTAATTCATTACTTGGTCTAGGTATTATACATTTATTTGAATTATCCATTGTATGACATGTTGTTGGTAAAAATAATGATGATAATTTTGTAGATGATAATAATGATTGTGAATATAGATTATAATTTAATGGAATAAAAGGTTTTATAAATTGTTTCAATTGTTCTATATCATCATTAGATGATAAAACAGATGTAGAATATGAAAGAAATGGTAAAGAACAATTAGTTGATATATAAGGTATAGTTGAAATTGATGATGTAACATTTGAGATAAATGATTTTTGATCGGATTTTGTTTTTAATTGATCGCCTAAATTAGAAATATTTAATGAATCAAAATAATTTTTCCATTCAATCAATGATAATCTTTGAAAAGGATTTGTACTGACAGATAGGTTACAATTATCATTTAAGTTTTCTATAGAATTACATAAAGAATAATGTGAATTGTTTTTTTGTAATTTTTTTGATAAATATTTCTTATTTTTATTAGTAGTATTTTCTATCAATTCAGTAGTTTTATACAAATTTTTATCTTTTTTATTAAATAACTTTTTATTTCTTTTGTATGGTATATGATCAGAAAATGGTAAATTAATTGATGATGTATAACTTTTAATCATTGAATTTGGTACTTGATTTATTTCAGAACTTGGATTAGTTAACCAATTACTTGTATGTTGTAATAAATCATTGACCATCTCATTTGAATCTTTATCATTTAAAGAGTTAATTGTATTATGATGATTATGATTATTAAATGTAGATTTATATTTAGGTTTTGATTTACTAGTTAGTTTATTTGATAAAATATCTGATGTACTTGTAATTGTTTCATTATGTATATTATGTTGTTTTAATAATTTATCAAATAAGATTTGTCTTTCTATATGAGACATTCCTTGTAATTCAATATGTCGTCGAACATTATGACGTTTAATTGTATCTAATTTTCTTTGTGTCATAACTTTGTGACATACAAGGCACATAACCTTAAAATATAAAGTTTTAATAGTTTTAAGTTGTCATATATCATTCAAATTTAAACAAATAATTTTAGCGCTAAATATGTAACACATATTAGATGTTAAATTATATTTAAATTAATCTCATTAATTCAAATTGGAATAATTCATTTCAACATTAAAGCTGGTAATCTGGTTTGAGTTTTGTCACGAAACTAATTAAAATTAACGAGAATAAATCAAATTGCAATTATTACTGTATGAAAAGCTTTTCTGATCCCGTTCAAATGTTTATTTTTTATAAGGATCTGAGTTATTCGATGTAAATTGTGTGTCAAAATGTGCCATGTGAAGGAGTAAGTTTGTGTATATATGTGCTAATGTTATTGAAATCCAGTGGCTAAATAAAAACTTTTAGCTACAGCTGAACTTATATTCAAAATTCCTTATTTGCCATATAGCCAAAACCGCATTTTCTTAAATTGAGCTTGTCCAACATATACTGATAATTTAATAGTTGAATTCATGAGTCAATTAAAGCTAGAGCATCATCAAAAACCTGGAAGCACTCGACGGCCGTTCCGTCCTAGTGTGGGACTCTTCATCAGTGCGTATCCACGATCCTGCCTCACGAGATTCGAACCCAAGACCTATCGGTCTCACGCTAGACCACTAGACCACTGAGTCGGCATCCGATGGTGATAAGACTTATTATTCAAATACAAGGTTATATTTAATATAAATTACAAAATTCATTAAAAACATGTAATTACCACTTATATAACCAAATTATACTACCTTAGTCATCTTAACTTGTATGATGTACTTAATAATTGAGTTCATATTTCTAATGGATACAGTTTTGATATTAGTTCATTACTCTTTCTTCTTTAAATTCACTTGTTTGGTTCAATTAAAAATCAATTCAATCAAGAAACATCAACCTTCATAAATTACCTTACATAAATTACTATTTACTAGTACATATATAGCGTATACATTATCCTCAATTACTTATCATATATTTCTATTTATAATCATGTCCATCATTTAACTTGTACCATACTTGCTACTAACATATATATTAAGATATAAATTGTATACATATTCAATATAAAGTACATTTATATGAATCATATAGATTATTTTATAATGGTAGTTACAATTTTTAAAGATTAAATTTAGTTATATTGATGACTAGTATTTTTGTTTTTGTGTGTGTATGAGAGAGAGTATGTGTGCATTATGATAGATCACCATTTAAACCATACTCATAAAAGTGTAATATAAAGAATATTGTCAATCATAAATAATAAATAATTCGTTTAAGGAAGAAAAACAGAATAATAAAATTGTAATTGATACATGGTATAAATGACAGTTTAATCAAAATTAATTGAGACTAATACAAATGTGAGCTATACTATTATATATGTATATAAACAGTATACCATATTTTTATAGCTAATATTGACATGTATGATTGAGTATAAGAGATATTCAATGGTATATTATACTTATTTTTTTTATTATTATTATTACTACTACATTATTTTGAGTATTCATTCATCTGTCTAGTTAATCAAGTTAGTTCTCACTTTGTCTTTTTTTATCTTTAAAAAATATTTGCATACATTTTAAAGATTACTACTGTCTCATTGTTGAACTGTAGCATAATTTATAACTGTATCCTCTGGTTTCTATCTTGTTGATAAATATTTGTAATAATATTGATTCATTGCTCTGTTGAAAAGTCACTAACATGTCACATTTGTTTTTTTTTGTCTTTTAAAGATGTATGTAGTTAGTTACAAACTTGTAATATTTCAGGGGAATGTATGTACACGGTATGTTCAAATTGTTTAAATCATTATCAAGTACAGCATAATATGAATCCTTCAACCATTCAGTAATATTTAACGAAGAATGCATCTTACAAACTATTCTATTCTTTAAACATCTAATCATATAATCATCAACATTAGAATGACAAAATTAACAGTAAATATGACTGAAATATCATTTATGTGATGCTTTAGACCTCTTTAATTGAAGTCTCCTATTGATTAAATGGAATAAATTTCATCACCAGAATTATTGTTTTCTTTAAAAAAACTGCTTACTTTACTTAAAATACACACATTATTAGTTGATCTATTTTATTTATGGATATATTACTAAATTGATCGAACAGTTTTGGGATATTTGAAGCCAGAATTATGATCTAACTGGTCTGTGAAAATGTATAAGATAGAATCGATCGTATTGCTTTAAGAATGTCATTCTCTAAATTTTATGAAATAACAATACACTTATAGTTAGCTTTAAGTATTTGCAAAATAAGTTATCTTACTTCTTTATAAATTAAAACTTAATATGGATAACTGACCTCATAACGTCCATATGGTATAACAAGCCATAAATGTTTCCATTCTTCACGAAATCTTCGTCTACGATCTTTCTCACGCCAACTTAAATATTTATAAGCTCCTGTGGAGATTGTGGTCATTTTTGTATCATTGTTATCATCATCATTATTAATATTGATTTCATTGTGGTTATCATTAAATAGAATATTTTGGTTATCTGACTGAACAGTTTTATTTAATTTTATGCTATCCATGGAATTTTTATTATGCCCTTTAAAATCGGTATTATTATTATTATTATTATTATTATTATTCGTTTTCCATTCGATTGTAGAAACAACAGCCTTATTTAAAACTGATGTTTCTTTGACTAAATTATCGGTGTATAATTGTTCAGTCGTTGAAAAATGACTAATATTACTATTTTGGTTACTATGATCACTAATGAAATTAGTTTGTCCAGTATCATTATTATTATTATTATTATTATTATTATTATTATTATTATTATTATTATTATTATTATCTACTCTCATATACTTCTTAGAATGTTTAGCAGATGAATTTGAAAGATTTTTGGAATATCTACGTTTCAATGTAAGTTTTTCATTCATTTTAGAACTTTTGGTCTCATTTTTTATCGTGTTCGAAGTATGTTCAATTGAACAAGTAGATGGTGATGTGTTGCTTATATTATTATTTTTATTTGAATATTGAATCAAATTATGATCATAATTAGAATCAGTTAAAAAAGATGATTTTTCTTTTTCATCGATTAAAGAATTTATAGAATAATCTAATGGATTCCCAGTATTCATATTTGTCAAAGTTTCATTGTCATCGTTTATACATTTAATGGAATGAAATCTATTTGATTCTGTTAGTGAATTCAATTCATTTTGTAATTCATTTGTATATAAATTTGATTTTGTATATGTGATATTACTATTCCAGTTAATAGATGGATAAGAATTTGATAATTTAATGAATTCGTAATTACTGAATAACGAACAATTGTCATTAGTTATTCTGGTTAATTTTTCAGTTTCATTAGATAATGAAGTTGATAAATTATAAGTTTCATTATTAAATGACATTGTAAATGTACGAAATATGATGAACTATTATTTCATAATGACTTTAATTATTTCTTATTCAAATGATGTTTCGAGAACTAGATGTACAAAAAAAAAAACAACACAAAATGCACATTGTGATCCATTGATTAACAAATGATGAATAAACCTGCCTCAATGATTATAATGATCAACTTGGATTGTTTAATATGATACAGTATATCACTTCGTTGTATTGATTAACGCATTGGTGACAAAAAGAAACATCGATTACACTGACTTCAATACCGATAGTCGTTAGTAGTGGAAAATCAGTTGTTATGATTCATTAAGATGTTATTTTCTGTTCAGTTAATTTGACATCTTCAAAAGTAACATTAATCAGTAGGTATTTAACTATATCAGTGAGTAAATATTTAGTAACACCTTAAGATGTTAAAAAAAAACCGCATAAGGGGTTTACAGAAGACAGTCGTTTTTAGTTGATAAACCATATTTTAAATTACAACAATTGATTTGTAATTTACGGCAGTAGATTTCAGAACAAGTTAACTTTATGTTATTACTAATATTACATTTTAAGTAGTACAATCTATAACCATTATAGAAGGTATAGTTAATTAGTAAGTGGGATTTAATTTCAGTACTTTCTACTGATTTCTTCCAAACATTCACTGAATAGGATATTCTTTTTTTCAAGATTTATAATTCCCTAATATTTGAAATTGAACTTATATTGGATTACGGATGATTAGCACATCATATTGTTGCAATGTAAATAAATAGTCTAATAATATTATACGTCGGACAAACGAAAATTCCGTTTCAACCACTGGTTTTGTTATGATTTTCTTCAAAACTAAAACATTTGATCTAAATATTGCTTAAATTAGTCTCATTGATACTATACAGTGTATTTGTATCTTTAAAAAAAAAATTTATGTTATTTTGAATTGTACCTGATAGTGAAAAAGTCGGATCAAGGATATCTGTCACACTACTACTTGATCAATCTATAATCATGATATGCTCAAAGGAAACATGATATACAAACATAAAACCTGGAATAACATTTAATAATGTCAAGCAATTCGTTAATCAATAGACATAATCTCAAAAGTTCATTTCTTCTTATTTATTTTGCTATGATTATAATTCCATAAAATAAAATGAAGTTATGCTTCGAACTGTTATGGATCATATTTCTAGAATAATAGTTATGTTCTATCACATTTTTACTATAAGGTTAATACTCATAAATGTTGTGTTATGCTTTAGGTGATTACATTTCTAAAAACGATTGACATCTTCCTATGTCATTATGCATGACTATCTTGAAGTAGGGCTTAATTAGTGAGAAAGATTTTTTGACTATTATTGACTTCACAATTAAGGTTCGTGGTATTTTTCATATCTATATTTGACTGTTTAGTTGATAAATCTAAATATGTCTTGTGACTGATAAGTTGATAAAGTCAGTTTAATTTTAAAATCCCTGTCTAAATGAATTGTCTCCATCCAACAATTTATTGGTTAATAAGTAAAAAATCGTAACCTGTTAAATTTTTTTGAAAATCTGATTGACAACTAATGTATATGAAACATAGAGAAAACATTCAAATATAGTTTTAATAGTTTCGGATTCATATAAATCTTCGTTTATAATAAGTGTTTTCTTTCTTTTCTTGTGTCTAGGCATATTAGTTTGACAGAGTCATTAGCAATATAGTCAAACTAGTGTTGCTCTATCACAACACTAATCCAAACATTTAAAATTATATTGTGAAATCAAGGTGAAATGGGTAACATTGATTTGATAGTGAATTTTCTTTATTCAACAAAAGGTGAACGGTCTGTATAGTCACTTTCGAGTTTTTATGTTAGATATATTTAATTATTGAAAATAATATTGAGTACTTTATAAGTTGTCAATCTAATAAATACATTCATTCATTTTTAAACTTACATACTACAGTAAATCTTGACTGAATTACCTAAAATAATAATCCAATATAAACTAAATATTTCATTACTGGGTATTATGTAATTGAGCGTGTCGACCGCCTCACTTATGTTGCGAGTCTCATCAGCCCTTGTGAACTGGTGTGTGACAAAATCTCAGCACGGATAGAGAAGCCTCGACTAGCTAGTGCCAACTTGCGTCATTTATGGCGTAGGTGAGATATCCGTCTACCAACCAAAGGGTGGGTTTACTGCGTAGCAGTTCGTTCCGTCCTACTTTATGGCAGTGAAACGTGGGTTACTACCATTCGATCATAGATATCTTCGAAGCATTGCTCGTATATCCTGGGACCACCAAGTAAGTAACTCAGTTGTTAGGAAACGGGTACTAGGTAAGGATGGCAAATCAGTTGATGAAGTAGTGAAACTTCATCAGTTGAGATGGCTGGGACACGTGTTACGTATGCCCAACCACTGACTGCTCAGCCGAGTGGTGTTTTATGGTGTAGGAGTAGGTTGGAAGAAAGCTAGGAGCGGCCAAACCAAAACATGGTACAAACCCATGAAGTCACTGACAAGTGGACTGAGCCATGTTGATAGGTGTAGACTACCTGGTTGGGATCCGCGAGACGATATAATCCGACGGTTAAAGACTTTGAATGACATGTCTCAAAATCGTTTGTAATAACGCAAGTGCATCCACTTTTTGTGTTCGTTCAAATTCGAATCTTCTGAATACTTCATGTCCCTTTTTTTCTCTTTCTAAATTTGTTCCACTAGATTATACTTCTTGAATAACATTTTCAAACTCTAATGTTTCCGGTTACTGCTTATACTCTTACTACCTCTACCACTATGGGATTTGAATCGACAATTAAATCTCTGTGCTGGTGTGATATGGCAATTTGGACTGATGTACGTACATACTCAGTTCTACGTTATTGCTGACTGACTGATTGACTGATTATTTAATTATTCATCAATATGGATAAGCAATAGAATTCAGCTTTATTTTAATAAAATGACTTCTAAATCCAAAATGTTATGAACTTCACGAAAAAATCATTATCAGTAACATTGAACAAATGAAACTTGACTCTACATATCTATACAAATATTGTATACTATTGGTAAATTCATATACATACCAAGATATTACATGCTAACCGATTCATACAATAGTATTTAATTTACAAAAGAATAAATACAGTGTTTTTATTTAGTTATTCTTACATGTATAATAGATTTGTAATGGATTTCTATTTTATATGTGTTTACTCGAAATTCTTTTAATTAATTCATTGTTGATGCTAATTCTGTGCAAATATTTTTACTCAGTCGTTTAATTACCAAATACATAATTGATTTACTAACAGACTAGACAACCTGGTGCCAAATCAATAAATATACATTTACCAAATATATCGAGACATAAAATACTTGAATACATATGAAGGTAGTTATATACAAAGGTGAAAAAGGGTATGCAATACTTTGGAGATTTTGTGCACTTTAGTAAATGTAATGTAAGTGTTAAAAGAGGCTTTAATAAAGTAAACAGAAGCAAAAGACCCTTTTGTTTTAGTACTAAATTACAAAGGAGTAATTCAGTTGCAAATAAATATATTTTTAATGATGGTTACTGCCACATTCTGAAATCCCATGTGGAGACACTGGACACCAGATATTGGTTCCTTTTAGAATATTACTATGGTTTTGAACTCTGCAACATACATAGTGAAAGCGATAGAATGTAATCGATCACATGATACTATTCAGTTGATTAGTGATACAATGTGAGAATTATTTTATTTAATCAGTGACAATGATTTCTATCTTAATATGATTGAACTTCATTAACCTTGGCTTGTAAAAATTTCAATAACCCATCTTATAATTAATTATGAGTAAACATATATAATCAGTCGTTTAAAACTAATATAAATACTTCTCAATAGAATAGAAAGTTGGTGTCAGTTCATATTGAATACTATCCTTGATTTAAGTCAATCACAATAGATTATTCAGTTGAATATTTTTCTACTTCCGTTTAGTTTACTTTCACTCTGTATAATTAGAATATTATCAAAGGGGGGGGGAAACTGACCTATTTTATTTACTAACATGTACATATACACTTACTAAGTAATTTATGTTATTATCATTCAGAAGTATATTTTAACAACTTTAAATAAACAAGGAAAATATTGGTCCATAACAAAATATATTTGCTATTATGATTTGTACAAATATTAAGTATGATATTTCAAATAAGAATACTATGGAAACCAATTCTGGATAGTGACAATAAGACAATTGAAGAAAATGGATAAATAAATCTTATTGAGATTAGGAATCGATAATTATTAGACCGACAATGAAAATCTGGAAGCGTTGGATGGCCATTACAAGATTTAATGCTTCAATTATAAAATATATATCATTGCAGAATATTTAGGAATAATTTCTATATTGTGAAAACTGTTTTCTCATTACATATAGATGTTAAATCATATCCCTATAGAAGGTTATTATTATTACTTTTGTATTGATTTCAGTGTGATGGTGTCTCATTCCATCAAAAAGTGTATGGATGTATGAAATGTATGAATCACTAAGATACCTTCATTTGAGTTTTAGACTATTTAGTATTACAATAGGCTTAGAAGATAACAGATATATCTAGTTAGGTAAAACTATTTCAAAATATCAAGAACTATGACCGTACTTAGTAACGAACAGATCTAAGATCACCCAAGCAATCTCCGATTATTGAAGTTGATTGATGCTTTACATTGAATTTAGGTAAATCATTCAAAAACGACCGATCCCTTATTGTACTTTCGATAGCAATCTTTACTTCACTTTTCCTTAACCTTTAACTTCATGTTCAAAATGAATCATTTAATCGAACAATTCTAGATTTTGACTAATATCTTGGTTATAATTACCAATAGTTTTGCTTACGAGGTAAGGAATACAATCTAGCATTGTAAAATAACCGAAAATTTCGGTATAGATACCTTACAACCATCCTCAAACTGATAATTTACTGAGTTTTATTTTAAAGAAAAAAAACAGCATAGTGTATTGGAAATAATGATAAGTTTAACTTTAATTTAAAAAAGATTAAATAGGTCTTGTCACCCGTTGAAGCTAATCTGAACATTACTAGTATTCAAATACAGTTAACACTTTTTTCTGATTAACCTGGTTCCGATCCACCAGTATCTGAATTAACCACAGTCTAGCTAACTATTAGTGATCGGCTAGGATATGTGTCAATTGTTTATTGTTTTCCTTAGTACTCATCTTTTATTATTATATTCATTTTTCT